GCCTGTTGCTTTCCTGGGCTATGGTATCTTTTACATTATGCAATGATAAAGAATGTTTTCAAAGCAAAAAAATCTATTTAATGAAAAGAAAATGCATTTATTGAAAAGAAACACAACTGCTTGGGAAACAGAAAGGGCAAGGGGGTGGGGTGGGGAACGGTATAACCACAGGTTTGCGTATGTCCTGTTATCATACTCAGCTTTCCTGTTTGCAGTGCTGTGCAATGAGTGTTGCATTTCAGGATGGCTATACAGGGGGCTGAGTGCAGTGGGTAAGGGTTGTAGTTTTCAGGGCTGTGTGGTGTTGGAGGCAGCTGGTGACGATAAGAACCCGGATGTTGAGGAAATTGGGTTGGAGGTGACATGGGGGCACAAGGAAAAGAGATTTGGGACAAGGGCTACAGGGAGGGGCGGGCGCGGTAGTGCTCCACCTGCATGGCTACGAGCGCCTGGATGGAGTCCGTTTGGTGCTCATGATGCTTATCAGCTGCTCTGTGCTTTGGTGCAGGTGATCCGCATTCTGCTGGCGGACCCTCCTTTCACTGTCCCGCCACTCCTGCACTTTTTGATTTTCATTAAGGGAGTGCTGCATGACTTCATGCAGCATGCCCTCTTTGCTTCTACGTGGCCTATTCCTGATTCTTTGCAGCCTCTCGGCTGGTGATAACACAGATGGCTGAGATGTCAAGGTTGCATCTGTAAAGGCAAAATGCAACACTTGACAGAGGCAGCATTGTTCACACCAGACAAAGCAATGATTCCCCCATACTTAAGGGCAAGCACAGTCTACACAATAGCATAATTTGCCTGTCCCAAAGCGAGCGCACATAACCCACGGGAGCCCCAAAATGGTGAGTAAGCACAGGGTCATGGGGGACTAATTCTTTCATGGCTGTACTGTCCTCTGGGTTTCTGTGCCTTGGGGAGAGCCAACAGCTGCAGGGGGCCCCTGTAGTGAACACTGTCCCCACATTTTCCACAGGAGTTCATCCTGGAAGATATCTCGCTGCTGAAGGTGACCTGGGAAGCAAGGGAGGGGCTTCTACTTCAATGCGGCTTCCGCCTTGGCCCATATGCAGCTTGCCTGTGTGCAGCAATGGTCCCCCTGGCCCTCACGGCACAGTGGCACGGACATGTTAGCCTGACTGGGACAAGGACCACAGTGGCTCTCCCACGAAACCTGAGCAAGTGCATTGCCCAAGTTCTGGATGAGACCTTTGAAGAGATTACTGAGGCAGATTACCACGATGTGAGAGACCATATCAACGCCCTATTCTGCATCTAGGCATGCATGCAGCCCTAACCCTCCTTGCCCCAAGAGCCCGCACCAAATAACTTACTTCCCAAAATAAAAGCCGCTTACCGGAAACCTCCTCCGGTGTTTGTCCTTCCCCAAGCACCAGCCGCCGCGACTGGCTACCTTCCTCCTGGTTTGAGAGCAGCTCCTGGCTGCATGCATCTAGGGATGCCGGTGTGTCTTCCTCCTCCTCAGCACCCTCGCTCCTGCTTTGCTGCTCCTCCTCCTCCTGCCTTGTTGGACTGTGCTCCAAAGCGTCCATGGTGGTCCTCGGAGCGGAGGTGGGATCTCTCCCAAGTATCGCATCCAGCTCTTTGTAAAAATGGCAGGTTGTGGGAGCAGCACCAGAGCGGCTGTTTGCCTCATGGGCTCTGCGGTAGGCATTCCACAGCTCCTTCACTTTAATCCTGCTGCAGAGCATCCCAGTCATGGCCCCCTTCCACCATGTCCCTTGATATCTGCCTGAAGATATCGTAATTCCTGCGGTTGGAGCACAGCTGGGACTGGACAGCTTCCTCCCCCCAAACACTGATGAAGTCCAGCACCTCGCCATTGCTCCAGACTGAGGCTCACCTGGTGCGTGGAGGCATGGTCACCTGGAAAGATTCGCTATGAGCACTCCACGCCTGGCTGAGCAAACAGGAAGGGGATTTTCAAAATTCCCAGAGAATTTAAAGGGCAGGTCTGACGGTTGGTCACCTGAGGGCAGGGCAGTAGAGTTCAAAGTGGTGACCAGAGTGGCTAGAACAGGCATTGTGGGACACTTCTGGAGGTCGATCAGAGCGTACTAACAGACCAGGGGGTCCACACTGGTGCTGTGGCGCTCCAGCGGGGGCGCAGCAAACGTTATTCCGCTCGCCGAGGTGGAGTACCAGGAGTGCTGTAGCCGCGGAGTCAGAGCGCTCTACGTGCCTTGCCAGTGTGCATGCGTCATGAGAGCGCACTGGGCTGCTTTAATGCGCTCTAACTCACAAGTATAGCCATGCCCTATGTCTGTGTGAGCTCCCATGGTGTACTGCAGGAGCTCAGTCCGTGGGGAGGCAGGGGTGTATCATGGAAGATATAAGCCAAGTAGGGAGCCCAGCCCATAGAGGAGGATGGGGGCATTAGGCATGGTAACTACAACTTTCATGAGACACGGCAGCAGCTCCAGTGGATTCAAATGCAAACACAGCCTGAAACAAAATGTTTTGATTTTTTTCCTGACAGAAAATTAAAAAAATTAAACAAATCAACGTATTTCTATGGATTTCTTTTTTGTGGAAACTTCATTTTCCATCAAAATCATAGACAGAAAATTCCTAATCAACTCTAATTCTGGTATTTGCTTCACTCCTTCAACAGAGTTTGAGTTTGTTGATAATCAGGGCATTTATAGCTGCTTATCCCTTCTCTGACTTCTGCCTGAGGGGGTAAGAGCAGGGCATATTTATGTAATGTTTAAATTTCTGAAATCCGGGTTTCAGTCCTATTGACGAACTAATATAGTGTTTATTTTAAGCTTTATATTTGGGCTGCCGATTACTCGCAGATAACTCACTCAATTACTCAAAAAAAATTAATTACGATTTTAAAAAGTAATCATGATTAATTGCAGTTTTAATCGCACTGTTAAACAGTACAATACCAATTGACATTTATTAAATATTTTGGCTGTTTTTTTCTACATTTTCATATATATTCTATTCTGTGTTGTAATTGAAATCAAGTGTATTATTTTTATTATAAATAATTGCACCGTAAAAATGATAAAAGAAATAGTATTTTTCAATTCACCTCATACAAGGACAGAAGTGCAATCTCTTTGTCGTGAAAGTGCAACTTACAAATGTAGATTTTTTTTGTTACATAACTGCACTCAAAAACAAAAACACTTTTGTAGCCTACATTGCAAGGTGGTTGACATGCCAGATGTGCTAAACATGCATATGCCCCTTTATGCTTTGGCCACCATTCCAGAGGACCTGCTGTTGATGCTCATTAAAAAATGTGTTAATTTTTTTACCCACATTCTGCCATATAGTATGATATTATGTTTTGTCACCCTTATCTGTGTAAAAGAAAACTGTCTGTATATCAAATCTATTTAAGTAATTTAAAATTACCTTCTTCTTTCCTATGCTTCCTCCCCCCCCACCCCCAAAATAATCATGGTCCACAAAATATAACAACATCAGGACTTGCGAGATCAAAATTAACTTTTTCCAACAGTTTATTCATAAGATTCCATAAAGACAGTTCTGGCTATAGCTGGGGGGGGGGGCGGGAAGCTTGGAATAAAATATGAACCAATCCAATTATTTGCCTCAAACTTAATTAGAATCATCTTTAAGGCTTGAAAAACTTTTCAACGTTTTTATTTTAATTCCATGTAAATTTCCATTCCCAGTTCAGCTGGGACTGGAAACAGAGATATCAAAATAGCACAAGAAATGCGTCTGTCACGATTTCTGACCTAATTGAAACCAAGAGGTCGGATCTTGTAAGAAAGCCTGGCAAACCAGGGGGTTGGATGTGTTGAGATAATCTTTGGATAAGCACTTTGCGGGACCTGACTCATCACTGATTTACTCCAGTCTTATGCTGATGTAACTCCATTGAGTGAAATCCATTGTAATGCTAGTGGTGTTAAAATGGCATTGTACAGCTACTCATGCAGTAGTGTATCAGGAGCTTGGCTTTTGAGCTTAACCCTTAAAATTTCATCCATCACTAGTTCTAAAACCTGTGTTGTCATTCAGATTGCTGAGGTTTTTTTCTTCTAAAATACTAGTCACTTCTGTCTTTGACTGCTATAATCAAACAACAGAGTTTCACTTGAACCAGGTGAAAGTAGCCTGTTACATTCTAATTAGATCAAAGAGTAGGTAAGCAGCCAAATTAACTAGAATTAATAGGTAGCATCAAACCAAGTTTTACAGAATACAAAGGGGAAATATTAAAAATCACTTTGAAAGGCAGGATATGAGTGAATCAATGTAATGGTAGATGCTTACACAGAGTACAGTATTAGGCAGAGGTTTATAATCATGCCAAGAAAGTTTAAATAGCCTCAGGGTAGCTGTTAATTCTTATGAAAACTTAGTACAGACTTCATTGACTTAGGTGGGATTATTCCAGATTTACTGACAGTGAAATTTGTCCAAGTGACCTTAGTTTATTCAAAATACTTTAAAAGAAAAGAACTTTTTTCTAATAATTTTAAAACCTGTGCTCACTTCCTTTTTGGCCAATAATCCTTTGATACCTTGGCATCTGTTTACATTATACAATACTTTTTTTGTTTAAAGAAATGTATATGATTTGTTTCAGAGTAACAGCCGTGTTAGTCTGTCTTCGCAAAAAGAAAAGGAGTACTTGTGGCACCTTAGAGACTAACCAATTTATTTGAGCATGAGCTTTCGTGAGCTACAGCTCACCTCATCGGATGCATACCATGGAAACTGCAGAAGACATTATATACACACAGAGACCATGAAACAATACCTCCTCCCACCCCACTGTCCTGCTGGTAATAGTTTATCTAAAGTGATCATCAAGTTGGGCCATTTCCAGCACTGGAAATGCTGGAAATGGATGATGAATTTAGTATTGTTTATGGTTGTGTGTGTATATAATGTCTTCTGCAGTTTCCATGGTATGCATCCGATGAGGTGAGCTGTAGCTCACGAAAGCTCATGCTCAAATAAATTGGTTAGTCTCTAAGGTGCCACAAGCACTCCTTTTCTGTATATGATTTGGTAAACGTCTAATTTCCCACTTTTGCAGACTTTGCAAACAAAGTTAAAGATTAAAAAGGGTCACAGTTCAGTGTTATAAACATTGATGGTATTTCTTTAAATGTAAACACAGTCAAGAAGTAACTGAATATTAAGTAATAAGTGTAAGAAGACTGTTTAGTGTACTTCTCATTATACATATATGAAAGCTGCTAGTAGTATAAAAAGGGCCAGAACATCAGCTGGTATAAATTGGCATCGCTTCTCTATGGTTTTACCAAATGACATCAGTTGAGCATCTGGCTCTAAAAAAAGTGATACTTTTTCTCAAATTAGTAAAACTTCAGATTCACTTTTGTATGCAAAAATCTATGATTATTTCTATATTGCATGGCACCCCATATGTGCTAGACACATTCATAGTTCTTTGGGAGAATCCACCTACATTGCTGGTTCAATGAATGTGTTTAGGATTCAAAAAATAGATGAAAATGTTTTTCATTATGGAGGAAAGATGATGTCATATGTGGCAGTGCCCTTTCCCCAATATCCAAAATCCCATCCCTGGACATGTTTACCAGCTGGTACCTGTGGCTGTGTGCATGCTAGATTGTTTGTTTTTTTTCCCCCCGAACAATGCTCCACTATAGTTACTTACTATCCAGTTAGGGAAGCAATAATGGAAGTATTTGTGTGCATAGGCTCTGGGTGGCCACTGGTGTTCTAATTCCTCGTTAATAAACCTGCTTGGATAAGGTCTACAGGATAGGGTGAAAAACACAAGTGGCCATCAGCATGTTAACTTTAGCCTGTGTGGCCTATCCTTAATGCCAATCCTGGCAGTCAACACAAAACTCCAATGGGAGCAGCAGCCTCCCACTGCTCTGGTTACAGTGTTCTTGGCATCTCAGCTATTGTTTAGTGGATAATACCAACCATAAAAAGGTTGTATCATTTTGCCAAACAATTACTTTGTGTTAAAAATTGTGTAGTTTATCAGTTTCCAGAAGAGGAAGCTAATTTGCATAGTACCCTGGTGGTTGATGGCCATGTTAGCCTAATTGCTTTAAAAGCACCTTTATCAAGTCATTCCTTTGAGTTAAAATTCCTTTTGAGCTAAAGCTATGGGTTCACAGAGGCAATGAAGAGTCAAGCTGGGGTAGAGGGTTACCATAACTTACCATGAACCGGCTCATCTGTTCATATCAGTATTTATATGGAAACTTAAAGCTGTCACGCATGGAGAACATAAATACATTTCAACCAAGGCTTATGAATTACTATTCTTAATAAGACTAAACTAAAGGATAGATTTATTCAGGGTTTCTTCCTCACACTTCTGGGCATGTAATTTTCTACTTTCAGCCTTGTCTATTGGCTCCACTGTGCCAAGTTCTTGGAGCACAACTGATGTTTATGCTCTCAACACTGCTACTTTTAATGTGCTGTCTTACATACCAAATGCTGCCATTCTTCAGCATGGTATCTCAAAAATGAAACACAAGGAGCAGAGATTGATAAATTTAAAATGTGTCCAGTTGGGAGAGGTGTCCGTGTGCCACAGGAATCAGTGTTTGGATCTTTAACAATTTCATTAGTGGCCTGGAGGAGGGGTGGTTATATATGAATGACATATTTTAATATAATGTGTGTCTAATGTAAAGAGGCAATACATCTCATGGTCTGAGCATAGAACTGGAAGCCAGAAACTTCTGAATTCTCTTCCCAGCTTTGACAGTGAGTTCCTTTGTGACCTTCAGCAAATCACTTATGCCCAATTTTTCAGAGCTCTCCTTTAATTTGGATGCCTCCAATTTTGGGTTTAGTGTCCACGTAAGCCACCTTGCACTGGTTTTCAGAGGTGCTGAGCATCCACGGTTCCTTCACTGTAAATAAGATCAGACCAGGCTTACTCTCTTGACCCCAAAAAGGGCATACAGAAATAACTTGTCTTGAGCATAGTATCAATCCATATCAGTGCAGCCAACATTCATCACCTCTTCTCCCTGCTCCACCACGGGGAGTCAGGAAATCTGAGGCAGCTGTTGAAAACAGGTCACCTGCACCCACCACGCATGCTGCTGGTGCCAAGTCATTGGGAAAGTTGGAAAGACCATGTTTAACTGTGTTTCATTTGGATTATTAATGTAGCTGTGCTAAGATATTAATAACATTATCTCAGTGGTGGTCCCATACCACTGAGCCACAAAGGTCAGCTACACTAGGTTTTAGAAAAAAATAGCAATGGGAAAAAATAATCCAATCTCTTTTAAAGTGACAGGTCTGAGCACTTCTACGTTTTAATATTTTTTGCCATTGTTGTATGGCACAGAATTTTTTTTCCTGATCATATTTTTTCCTGATTATATTTTTTTCCTTTTCATATTTGCTATTAACATGTTACTTTTTTGAATATCTTCTCAGGAAAGGACACTGGTTGAAATTTTTCAAATTGTCTAAGGGATTTAGACACCCAGTACATGTTCATTTTAATAGAACTCAAGCATCCAAATTCCCTTAGGTAGCTTTGAAAATCTGGGCCTATATGTATACAATTTCATACAAATACAATAGCATCAGATATGAGTGCCAGCAATGGAGTAGCAGGTTCTACAAACTTGGATAGAAATGTAGGATTCTTCTCTTGATCCACCCTGTTATTAAGGCCTCTAGCACTGCTAAAGCTGCTGAGTTAGTCCTGCTGACTCTTGCTGGCAAGTGTGGCTTGTTCACACTATTGGGATGTGAAAATGCTTGGTGATACCCTCTGTACAGTAGCAACAAGGGAGGGGAGAGAAAGATTCCACCTGAAACCCTAGGAACAACCCAGCGGCAGAAGACAATGACCTTCTTGCAATTTATGAAGCAGCAGGAAGCCCAACAAGAATGGCAGCAGGGCCAGGTTGAAGTCCAATAGCAACATATGCAATAGTTCCAGAACCAGCTGTTGCAGAGACTCATTAACCTCAGTGCACAGTCCAAACATGCCAATATGTCCCAGTCTTTCCCTAGCCAAGATGGGGCCAGAAGGTGGAAGATAACTCAGAAGTTTACCTGGTCACTTAAGTGAGTAGCTCTACTGCAGCCCATTGGGAAAAGAAGTCATGGGCTATTGACCTGGTCCTTTTCTTGCCAGGAGAGATGAAAATGATTTATTGGGCAGAGCTGGTCAGGATTTTTTTTTTCTTTGACAAGTCTTTTTTGTCATCAAATGCTGATTTCTTGACATTGAAACTTTGTAGAAATTTGCACTGGAAAGGTTTGTTAGGTCCAGGACGAGAGAGAGAAAAGAGAGCAACCTCAGATCAACCAGTAGCCCAGTTGTTAGGACACTCACCTCTCTGTGTCTCTGTATAAATAATTCAATATTCACTAAGAGGTCAGCTCCAACAGAAGACAGAGAGAGAGAGAAACTGACTATAGTCTGGTGATTCGGGCCCTTGTGTGGCATGTAGAAGAAATAGGGTTGAGTTCCTAATCTTAATTAGGCAGCACAGGGACTGGAATTTGGGTGTCCTACATCCTAAGTGAGTTTCCTCATCCCCATTCTGAGGTATCACTCTATCTTGTTCTTTCATGAACAATGTTGAAAGGTCTTATTTTCATTCAGGAGCAGGACAAAAACAAATTTCAGCACCTCAAAACTTTTTATAAAGTGAAATTCTTGTTTTCCAGTGAGCCCTAGTACTGGATGTTAAGATACCATGAAGCCTGCTGCTTTGAATTGGTTGGGAGTCTTGCATGAGTAACACCAGCAAAGGTTTCAAAGTGAATCGTTCTTCTGAGGTGGGGCCATATACCTTTGCTCAGTACTTGATGGAGCTGGTGATTTGTTGATGAAACCAGAGGCACGCAAACAAGGAATGAATTACACTAATCAAAAGTGCAGTATTTAGAAAATCTGTGTAACAAATGCAGACCTGGGTGTTCCAGCTCTAGTTTACTATATTGATGGAGACTGTGGAACAAATGGGAATTAAATATGGCTACAACGTGAAACTGAGCAATAGTCCACGAGATACACAAAAGAACAATATCTTTAAGAAAAGTGAATGGACTTAGAGCCAAAAGGCCTTAACCTTCTGTTCTCTTCTCCAATGTTATAAAGTGGGAAATCTTTAGCCCAACAAGCTTTCCTTGGCATCTGAGCTGTCATCTGGGATATTTTCATTCCTGATGTCTGCAAGTCATCACAAATTCACTTCTGGCTAACTGGTTTCCATGTTAATATAGCATTGGAAGAAGGAGCATGCTCTAACATTTAAAGAGCTTGGCTGGCACATACAGCAGTTGGATTGGGCATAGTCTGAGACTGGGTAGAGTATGTGACTCCATCTAAAAATGCAATGGCCTATAAAGCCTGACTATGTTTTCATTTTCAAAGGCATTTCACCCACTTGGAACAACGAATATCCTGTGTGGCTACAGACACCTAAAGATTTTCGTCTACGTAGAACTTAGTTGTGCTCGAAATGGCCCACCTTGATTATCATACATATTGTAAAGAGAGTGGTCGCTTTGGATGGGCTATTACCAGCAGGAGAGAGAGTTTGGGGGGGGGGGGCGGAGGGTGAGAAAACCTGGATTTGTGCTGGAAATGGCCCAACTTGATTATCATACACATTGTAAGGAAAGCGATCACTTTAGATAAGCTATTACCAGCAGGAGAGTGGGGTGGGAGGAGGTATTGTTTCATGGTCTCTGTGTATATAATGTCTTCTGCAGTTTCCACATTATGCATCTGATGAAGTGAGCTGTAGCTCACGAAAGCTTATGCTCAAATAAATTGGTTAGTCTCTAAGGTGCCACAAGTACTCCTTTTCTTTTTGTAGAACTTAGTGTATGTTCAGGTAGTTTACAGTAAGTTTACTATAAAAAGGCATTTACTTTTATCATTTTGGGGAGGGGTGGGTGAGAGTTTTCAAAGAACAAAAAGAGGATAAGACAAAAAAACCCTAAAAAAAGCCACTTTAACCTTACATGTTCCAATATTTGCACAGAGATTTAGGCACATAATTCCTAATAAGGTCAATGGGAGTTACAATATGTAGCTAAATCCCTATGAAATTCTCTGAAAATACAGGGCTATAATCTCCCAGTACTGGACACAAAATAGGAAAGACCCTCAAAACTGTGTATGAGAAAAATAAGAATGCAGGGATCTTAAAATACTAGAGAATTAACTTCTTTATGATATATAACATTTCCTCTTACCTCTGGTTTCATGATTCTGCATTTATGATTTGGATAAATGACAGCAGAAAATGTAGGATTATCACACAGCGCCTGTGAGAGAAGGAGATTAGTTTATGCCTAAAATGAAGACCATCTCTTGCTAGAACAGATATTTCAAATGTTTGAGGCAAGGGCCTGGCTATATGCAGATATAGGTTTGGCATGAGGGGCATCAGAAGAGTGTGTGAGATTGTTGCAGAAAGCAAGAGGAGAGCAACAAACATGCAATAAGAAGTGGGGAAATTACACTAGACATACCACAGAAGTGGCAGAGACAGACTTCCGTGCATGAACAGATGCTGAAATGGAAATGAGCTTTTCAGCAAAGGCAGATAATGCCCAGATTGTGGTACTGTAGCTGCAAGGGCAGAAGTCCAAACGGAATCAACATCTCCACCTCATGATCCACTCACTGTGCACCTGAAGTACCCATTAAGGGGCAAAGCCCATCAGACTTTGTTTATGGGTCATCATGATAGGGTTCAAATCCAACTACAAGAGCTTCATTATTATTTCTGACTCCAACTTCTGCACTATCAGCCACTGCACTTGGGGGTGGGAGGGTAGTGCTGTTTCGGTTCAGAATGCGAACAGCTGAAAACAATTAAAATGCAAACTGAATTCACTCAATAGTATTCTCAGGGAATGGCGCAGTTCATAGTTGTAATGCAGTATGTCAGCACAAGAGAATAACATAGCATTTGAATGAGGTGAAGGGTAATACACTAGCCCCATGAAAATCAATGACAAATCTGCCATGGGCTTCCATTAAAATTCAGGAACTGCTGATACCCAGTGTTGTGCTTAGAACACTAGAGCGTATCTTGTGGTAAGACTGTTTTCTATAACTTTTTTCCCCCATCTGTGATAGGCATCTTTCTCTACTTCAGGAAGGAAGCTTTGTAGGTGTGGGTGACGTGTGTGATCATATTGCAGTAATTAAGTTAAAAGATGAATAGCAGATGCCCACGTTTTTGCCTCCCCTGGCCACATTCTGCCTACGTTTTAGGTAAATTTAGTGTTTGAAAGTCTAGAGGTTGGATTGGTGACCTGTTACTTCTAGAATCTATCATTTAAAAAAAAAAGAAAAGAAAGAAAGAAAGAACAATTGAATCCTCATGTAAATCCCTGTAGCTCTCTTGAAGTCACTGGAGCTAGGGCATTTATACCAGCTGAGGACCTGGCCCGAAGTCTTTGGCCTTAGCATTACATGATAACTGTATAAATTAGTACTGAGGCCCAGATCCTCAAAGGATTTTAGGTGCCTCACAGTGAAAGATAGAGGCACCTAAATATCTTTGAAGATCTGGGCCTAGCTGTATTGAAGACTTTTATTTCCTGCTTGGGGATTCCTGATGTCTGCAGGTCGGTTAGGATAGTTCTCTACCCTCTTAGCTGGCAAGCAGAGGCAATTGGGAGAAGTAGGGGAGATACAAGGATTGCATGCCATTCTTGTGAGCAGACAGTTGTGGAGAAGGGTTGTGAGAAGTGAATGGAATGAGAGAGAGACGGGAGCACGAAGGCCATGGCTGGGTTCAGGGAAATAAGGAGGAGCAACAAGGAAGCCATTTCTTTCCGCAGATGTAGGGGGTACACTGGGCAAGGGAGGCCATTAAGGAGGAGTGTTACTACCAGATGAGATGGGAATTTTCCTAGTGATTAATAGTGGTAGCAGCCTTTAAAAACTTGTGGCTGCCATTTTGTTTTAGAGTGGGGACAACCCAGAAGTCTGTGCCTCACATTTGAGATACCAAAACTGCCTGGGACCATAGTTCCAATGTGAAAAGTCACAACTGCCTCCTTCATCCTTCTGAGGTAAATTCCTTGTTTGCTCTGTGTGAATTTTCAGACAGCACCTTAAAACCTGAGGTTCTGTCTGTCCTGCCTAACTATAGATCCAATGACAACTTTCACATGATTAGGCATTTGCTCTGGAGTCCCTGTACAACATTTTCTCTCTACTGTAGTGCTATGCACCAGTTAGTTTCCATCCTCCACCTCAGAGTGGCTGCAGTTCACTGCTCTTTGTATCCTAGTGTATGTAGTTTGTAAAGCACTTCACCAGGGAAAGTATTCACAGTGATTTTACTCCAGCCTAATGCCACTGACTTCAGTGGATTTACTCCTTTCTTACCTTGTTGAAGTGAATCAGAATCTGACCCCAAAGCATCCCACTGAGATGAGCATTATTTCTACTAATTTTACAGAAGGATAATCAAACACAGGGACGTTAAAGTCTAAATTGACAAAAGGACTCAGGCACCTAACTGATATTTTAGGCACCTACGTCCAACATTTAGGTACCACTGCAATCCTCAAAAGATCCACTCACCTTCCGCCTAACTCAGTAAGTGCCCAAAGTACCTGGGCACTTAAGTTTCCACTGTTAAAGTCCTTGAGGCACCTAAACTTTGTTGACTGTATGTGCTCAGAGCTGGCTCACCATCTGTCTCATGCCCTAAGCCCTGTCAGGATTCACAAACTGGCACGCACCCAGGATGTGAAAGAGTTGGGTCAATCTCCCCGTCCCGCCTGGTGTGGGAATTAGATCCAGGTCTCCCATATCCCAGGTGAGTGCTCTAACCACTCGGCTAAAGTTTGTAAGGGAATCACCATTTATAAGTGGAGGAGGGACCTCTACTGTTTTAGGCACCAGACTCCAGGAGGGGATTCCTGGCTGTGAATCCCAAATGAAGACTGGTCTGGAAGGAGGCACCAAAATTAGGCACCCTGATCCTGGTGAGGGATGGGAGCTAGGCTACTAAATGGTCAGCTGCCTAAAATTAAGTGTTATAATGCTGAGTCCACATCCCCTTTGGGAATCTAGTCCTAAGTCACTTGCCTGAGGTTACAAAGTGATTCAGTACCATAGCAGAGAGTAGAATGTAATAGTCCAGAATATTTTGATTCCTAAACACTGGACATATTGGACCTGATCCTGATTTCAGATTGATATAAATCAGGAATAATTCCACTGAAGTCAGTGGATTTATACAGGTGTGAAACCAGTGCAAGTGGGAAGAAAATCAGGTCTACTATGCTGCTTGGGAATGTTAGAAAACAGGGAAGACCCTCTCTTAAAAAGGAAATTCATTGGGGTGGGAGGCTGTCCCTCTACAGAAGGACAAAGCTTCATGCACTTCTGCTCACCTCACAACAGAGGATCACCCCATGGTGACTACAGCTGCAAAACAGCAGTGCAGTATTTTGCCTCATGATTTTTGATCTTTATGGTCTTTATTTTATGTTTTGTTATATTTTTAATTGTATGTGCATCACTCTGGGCATCTTGGTGGGTGTTGCTTTATAAATGAAAGTATTATTACAATCATAGCAGTAAAATTACAAGATGTCAAAGGAAACAGTTCCTAAGATCAGAGTACTCATGGGGACTAAACTGCTTAAAAGTCAACACATTTCCTGACTCTGTGATTGGCAAAACTCCTTTTTTTTTTTTTTTAAGTTTGGTGTATCACTCACTGAACTAGCTTCGCTCTGCCTGGTCTCAGTGGCATTGTTTCATACTGTTAAATGGATGCACAGAACTAAGAAATACCCATTGTGCATGGTGGGGTGTTGGAACAGGGTGGAGGGAGGAATCTGGTTTCAATTTTATAATCATCATTGTCTATACAGGTATAACATCTGGTTTGCTGTGTAGCTTAAAGAATAGACATTCTGTGAACTGGTTTTGCAGTGAGAAATTTTTCACAATGAACGTTAAGTAGAGCTGATAAATAACTAATTCAGTGGTTTGATTCTTTGCTGAAAGCAAGTATAAGAAGCAATATGGCCAAAGCATATTCATTAAAAAATGCCAACACAAATCATTGAAATTTTTTGTACTACTTACTGAGCTGTAAGGGTGACTTTAGCAAATATATATGAATTTACACACCATACATATGTCTGGTTATGATCTCATTTACCCCTGTTATACGTCTGTATAACTCCATCTTTTCAAAGCAAAAAGCAACTATTGTTGGGGAAAACTGGTCTTCACAGAGGGGAGAGACCTATGAATCCAGCCAAGCAGAATGTGAGCTCTTTTCTCTGTTACAGAAAAGTGATACAATTCATTGGGTTTCACTTAACTTAGCAAACTTTTCAAATAAGTCTACCACAATATTGATGAGCACAGGATGTGGTAGCTGCTTTTATGTGCTTATTAAGCTTTTATTTTCTCAAAGGTCATGCAACAATCTCCAACAAGTAAAGAATTACCTTACATTTCAGTCCCAAGAATTATTTAATAGTCGGGGCAGTACTGTGAAAGGAGAATGACTTTGGTAGATTTGGATTCAGTAAATTCTGACGATTATTTTTGTTGTTAGCATGAACAGAAAATAGAAAAAAAAACATCTTTGAAGATATGAACAAACACGAGCTTAACAATTAAAGTACCCTCTCACTCCTAGAACCCAGGAAAGGTCCTTCTAGGTAAAAGTTAAGGAACAAAAGAGCAATAAAGGGGAAACTTGAACCGTTCCTGCTTGTGCTGTGTCTGTTGCATCGCTAAACTGAAAGATTCAAGTCACACTGCTCTACAGCAGCTACCGGTGATGTACTGTAAATGGGGTCACTCTCCCTATCTCTGCCTGTAACTGAAGCTCTGCCAGCTCATGACAAAATGAGATGTCAAAACGGTGCTTCGCATGCCCTGATTGAGGGAGTAACCCCCATGGGCAGCATGTGAACCCCCCGTTCGGGAAGGTTAGCCCCCTGCCCTGCCTCTTCCTCCTGAGGACCCACCCCACTCCATCCCTTCCACCCCTCACAATCACCCGCTGGGGCCAGAGGACCCCTCCCCCCCCGCAAAGCTCCCACCATGGCCAGATGAGCCCTGGCTGGCCTGTCCAAACTGCCTCGAGCCCTGGTCCACCAGCCGGTCCGCCCACGCCCTCCTAAGCCCCGGCCATCTGGAGGAGCTCTGAGCCCAGCCCCCATGGCTGTGGCAGCGAGCATTAGTGGAAGTTTGGGGAGGCTTAGCTTCCCCCAAGCCTCCATTACGTGACACCCATGGTCACCCTCCACTGACCTACACTCCCTAA